GAAGTCTTTTCAAAATTGTCTAGGGACATAACTGGAAAGAACTTTCATTTGTATTTTGACAATTACTTCACTAGTGTCAAACTTAAGGACGGAGGATTTACTTGCTGAAAAGATTTATGCTTGCTGCAAAGTTCATATGAATCGAGAAGGGTTTCCTGGTGATCTAAAAGGCAGACTTTAAATGCAGAGAGAACAGTCACAAACCTCACAGAGATGAAATTTAACTGCATCTGTCTGGGAGGACAAAAAGCCAGTGGCTTTCCCAAGTACACTAGTTGACCCTGTTGCACAAGTCCCCATCACCAGGCAGCAAGGAGCAATTCATTGTCTGTTGTTTTACTTGAGAATTTTCACTCAAAAGATGTCACCATATAATGGTGAAAAGGCTTAAAATTTAGACCTTAACTCGGCACTCAGGGCCATTGAGCAGTGACGGATCTTTGTCATGCCAATGGCTGCCATGACAAGGGGCCTCGTTTTTTAAAGTGAAAATTGTGGGTCTTCCAGATGAAATTGAGGTCCCGTGTCATGGCAGGTATTGGCACAATAAATTTCCATTATTGGGGAAATATTGGAACGAAAATAAAATGTCAAATGTAAATTGTTGCAATGACAAGGAAGTATGTTTCTTTTTAATTAATAGCTATAGACTAGTGACAATGAAGCAGACTTGGAGGGTTTGTAATTGCAGATTTTAAAATTAGGGAACAGTGAAAATGCACTTGCAGAATTACCTATGGTGGATTTTGAATCAGACAATGAACAAGATTTACAGATAAGATTTAGAAAAATGTTATCTTGGGAAGACATTTCACCTACGAAAACACTGTTCATTGTAGTAGAAATTAAATGTTGACTTGAATGATTCTCAGCCTTTGACTTTTCAACAATTGTTTGTGAATGATGGTATGATAGATTTGTTAGTTGAGGTAACAAATTTGTATGCCCAAAGACCTAGAAGTGAAAATGTGAGGAAGTTCAATGGATGAAAAGATAAAGGAAATGAAAGTATTCTCAACCTCGTTTCTGCATTTCAAGGTTTTTGACTGCGACTAACTTTATCTCATCAGCCCAGTGTTATAGTGTTAATGCCCATCTGTTAGCACCATAGATACTATTAGGATTTTTTTTCAAGACAAACAAGGGCAAATAACTAAATCAAATATGAATGAAATTCATCATTCAATTTAAATTATTATGGTATACTGGAAATCTTAAAATTCTAAAGTTAGGTGGAAGAGGTAGAGGGAAAGAAGACACTGAAGGAAATGTAAATTTATTGTTAAATTACATATATTCATTGTTTTCATATTCATTGTTATTATAAATACATAATATAACATTCTGAAGTTTGACTATAGCTGGGCAGAAGAACTAGAGTGAGAAGAGCCACTGAAGATAAACATACTCCTTGGTTTATATATTCTGTATATTTATTGTTTATAGACATATATTTTTTTATTGTTTAAAAACATATATTTATTGTTTTAAATACAATATATGATATAGTATTCTTGAAATTTTAAAGTTTAGCTACAGCTGGGCGGAAGAAGTAGAGTGATCAGAGACACTGAAGATACACATATTCCTTGTTTCATATATTCTGAATATATATTGTTTATAGATATATATATATATTTTTATTGTTTAAAAACATATATTTATTGTTTAAAATACAATATATGATATAGTATTCTTGAAATTTTAAAGTTCAGCTACAGCTGGGCAGAAGAACTAGAGTGAGAAGAGACACTGAAGATAAACATATTCCTTGGTTTATATACTCTGTATATATATTGTTTATAGATATATATATATTTTTTTATTGTTTAAAAACATATATTTATTGTTTAAAATACAATATATGATATAGTATTCTTGAAATTTTAAAGTTCAGCTACAGCTGGGCAGAAGAACTAGAGTGAGAAGAGACACTGAAGATAAACATATTCCTTGGTTTATATATTCTGTATATATATTGTTTATAGATATATTTTTTTTTTATTGTTTAAAAACATATATTCATTGTTTTAAATACAATATATGGTAAAGTATTCTTGAAATTTTAAAGTTTTTCTATAGCTGGGCGGCAGAAGTAGAGTGAGAAGAGACACTGAAGATAAACATACTCCTTGGTTTATATATTCTGTATATATATTGTTCATATATATATATATATATATATATATATATATATATATATATATATATATATATTTATTGTTTAAAAACATACTATATTCATTGTTTTAAATACAATATATGATAAAGTATTCTTGAATTTTTAAAGTTTTCCTATAGCTGGGTGGAAGAAGTAGAGTGAGAAGTGACACTTACGATAAACATATTCCTTGATTTATATTTTCTGTACATTTACTGTTTATAGAAATATATTTTTATTGTTTTAAAAACATATATTTATTGATTTAATAGTACATATTATATAAAATTCTTGAAATTTCAAAGTTTACACAGCTAATTGTGCCACGTACGTGTAACGTATGGTAGCACATACCATATGTTACACGTATGTGAAACATACGTAACACATACGTGTATTCCAACCGCATGTTACACGTACGTGGTATAACGTATGGATAACATGCGTGTGACAACATACGTTTCACATAACGTACGTGAAATGTGCGGTTTGAATACACGTACGTGTTACGTATGTTTCACACACGTGTCACATATGGTATGTGCTACCACGCGTTACACGTACGTTTATAAACGCATGGTTTACATGTGTATTGTCAACCACACGTTACACATACGTTAATGAACACGTGGTTTACATATGTATTGTCAACCATACGTTACACATACGTTAATAAACGCACGGTTTACATGTGTATTATAAACTACACATTACACATATTTCACACACAGGGTTTACATTTATTATCAACCACACGTTACACATATGTTAATATATGCATGGTTTACATGTATTAAAAACCACACATTACATATACATTAATGACAAGTATGAGTGTTATCAGCTATGTTACATGTAGGTTAATAAAATTTTTTTTAAATGTGTGTGAAAAGCTGGCTGTGTTTGAGAAGGCTGTATATTTTCTATATTAATGGTACTTTTACATACATGTACAATAAATGTAGGTCAACTATAATTAAATTCAATCCTTTTTAATTCATTTAATTAATTAGTAAAATTATTAATTTTTGTCAACAAGTGAAAAAAATCCCTAAAAGTTTTATTGTTGCTGGGACTATATAATATTCATAAATTGGTGACATTTTCAAATACTGTAACAGGAACTTTTTGTACAAAAGTACACCTCAGACAAAATACTTTTTTTTACTTAATAGTTCAGAGTGAATTTGGAGAACTAATCAAGATAATGTTTAACAATCAACAGGTCTGGCACAATCTCTTGATTAAGCTTTATAGCTTGAAATAGCTATATAGCTTTATTAAGCTATTCAAAATAGCTTGATAAAGCTATTTATATGCAGGTTTTCACAAAAATGTTATTTGTACAAAATAGACAAAAAGTCGCAAGTATTTGACTATTCATATATGTAATATAGGTTATCAAATCAACAACCCAAATCAAAGATAGTTCTAACATTGCAGCATTTGAATACTTTTAAGCAAAAGATGAATTTCCATTGTTTGGGTAACTGTACACTACCTTGTGTGAGTTGAGGCATGGATAAGTATGATTGCTTCTCATTGTACTGAATTATTACCAATCAATTTTCTTGTTGACCATAATTGGCCTCCTTTATAATTTCATTGAAGAGGTAACTGTATCAATTGCTTTATATAGCCCCCAAAACTTTTAGAAGTTTGAGTACAAAGTCTCTTAAGGAGACCCAATTTGATGAGTGATTTTTACATGCATTATTTTCATTAGAGTTCAAGGGTGAATATCATCACTGCACCAAGGTGCGACTTTTTGTACATACTTGGAAAATAACACATTTGAAAAAAAAGTGTGATAAAATAGCTAAATCAAGCTATTCTGAATAACTTAATAAAGCTATTTAGCTAAATCAAGGTATATAGCTTAATCAGGAGATTGTGCCGGACCTGATCAATAACCTGTAATTCATGAAACAGAGTATTGCGACCAACTTGGTCCAAGTATAAAATCCCTCTTAAAACGGGACCCTAGATCATAAGTTGCGTGGATTTTAATCATTATACTGTAATATATTTTAAAGATTTAACTATTTTTTTTTCAAAAAAATAATATCATATCATGATCTATGATAATGATGATTAAAACCCAATCACCTCTGAAAGCTCACAGGTGTGTGCATTGTTGACTTGTTGTGCGTGTTTTGCGTCTTTGATGTTCCAATTTATTTCACATTGTTTACCTTACGTCCACTTGCATGTCTGACATGGAGTAATCAGTTCGCATTGGTGTATAATTTACTCTTAGAGCAGTAAAACATAGTCTACATACAAGTGATACCAAATAAATGATGATGATGATGAAGTACACCAATCTCGTAATATGTATATCGGATATCGGTAGAGGCACATAAAATTGAACTCGATCATCGGTAGATATAAACATTCCGAATTCAGGAGCAAAAGCTGAATTTGAAAAAAAAAAAAGAAGAAAATCACGATAATTTCACAACAGAACTCAAATGGAATTCACCTAAATAGGTATTACATAATTATACAGTTGGTAGCGTCCATATAACACTAAATATGTAAAATGTACGTTCCGGAATTTTCACCTCCGATTATTATTTACGTTAACGGGTGACGTCACTGGTAAGAAGTCTGACGTCTGCAAGACAGTGTCTGGAGTTAGGATAGGAGTAACGGTGAGGAATATACAGAACATCTACAGTTATTTATTTACTTTATATTTCAGACTGTGTTGCATGTAAACTAACGGGTGTGTTTCTTTTATTTTAGTGTATAACATAATGTAAACTTAGTTTACCAAATAAGTAAGAAAATATTGACGCAGTCAACTGTCTTGGTCAGCACCCCAGCCCATGCGCCCAGGTGTGAATCAACACTGGCACATTATATCAAAATTAAGGTGAGGTATAAAACATACTGTTATAAAAAATATTTATTGTAAGATTTTTTTAGCCTACCAATAAGATGCAATAAAACACTTGATTGAAAAAGTTCCACCCACCCAATGTATTTCTTTACAAAACATGTAGAGGAAATATAAATTATCTTTTAGGGCAATAAGGGTGTAACACTTATTTTTCAGATGTCTTTTTCATACAGTCCTTTTGAGTATAAATAATGTATTTTGAGATTGTGATTTTTTTATGTGATTTTAAATGTACACTCCAGGATGGTGGCTGAAGCTCATCTCCTATGTAAACACCTAAATGCCAAGTCTGGACTTCAAAAACAGATTCTGAAAGTTTAACCAGCATTATGGTAATACTCTTAAAAAAGAAATCAAATTTTCTGATCCCATTGCTTTTAGACTTGCAATTTAATACATATAATATCATGTAATGATGTGCATTACATTTCAATCACAAGAGGAGAAAATGTTAAATGTTATCAGTAAAATAAGTAATTTTTCATATTGTTTGTTTTGCTTTACAAGTCTGAAATGCAATTTTTTTTAACATATATTTTCTTTTTTCCCAAGGACAAAAAGTATACACTTTGAACAGACACAAAAACATATAGGTCCATGCCAAGCTATGAAAGATTTATGCTGAGGGTAAGTTCTATTATTATATAGAATTTAATTGTCAGACATATGGTTATGTCTAAAATTTTACTGTTGTATTTATATCAGTGATAAGCAATATTTTGCACCTGAGCTGACTTACATGTAATCACAAAAAAATGTTATAACTAATTAGATAACCTGAGTCAGTCATGACCTATTGCTATCTGTTTTTAGCTCACCTGAGCTGAAAGCTCAAGTGAGCTTTTGCTGATCACATTTTGTCTGTAGTCTGTCTAGCTGTCCGTCTGTCTGTAAACTTTCACATTTTCGACTTCTTCTCCAGAACCACTGGCCTATTTGAACCAAACTTGCCACAAACCATCCTTGGGTAAAGGGGATTCAAGTTTGTTCAAATAAAGGGCCACACCCTCAATAAAAGGGAGATAATTAAGAAATAGTGAAAATTTAGTGGGATGTTTTAAAAATCTTCTTCTCAAGAACCACTGGGCCAAAAAAGTTGAAACTTATAGGAAACCTTGTATGTCAAAGTGTAAATTCAAATTTGTTTAAATCACGAGCCTCAGGGGTAGGTTGGGGCCACAATGGGGGATCAAATTTTTACATAGGAATATATAAGAAAAAATCTTAAAAAATCTTCTTCTCAAGAACAGCAAAGCCTTGTTTAGTCATATTGATAAGGAAGCATCATCAAGTAGTGTAGATTCAAGTTTGTTCAAATCATGACCCCCCAGGGGTAGGGAGGGGCCACAATGGGGGATCAATATTTATACATAGGAATACATAGGAAAAAAACTTTAAAATTCTTCTTCTCAAGAATAGCAAAGCCATGAATAGTCATTTTGAAATGGAAGCATCCTCAGGCTGTGTAGATTCAAGTTTGTTTAAATCATGATCCTCTGGGGATAGGATTGGACCATAATGGGAGATCAAAGTTTTACATAGAATATATAGGAAAAAAAATCTTCTTCTCAAGAACAGAAAAGCCATGATTAGTCATGTTTATATGAAAGCATCATCAGGTAGTGTAGATTCAATTTTGTTCAAATCATGAACCCTGGGGTAGGGAGAGGCCACAACTGGGGATCAAGTTTTTACAAAGGCATATGTAGAGAAAAATCTTTAAAAAAATTCTGCTCAAGAACAACAAAACCATATGTTATATTAATATTTCTTATGGCCTGCAGGTGTGTCATCACCTTGACCCAAGGTCATTTGGGCAAGTTCAAGGTCACCGACAGAAAAAAATCATAATTCGTGTTTACACAAAGATTGCTTATGACCTGAAGGTGTGTCATGACCTGACCCAAGGTCATTTGGACAAGTTCAAGGTCACTGACAGAAAAAGTTCATAATTCGTGTTCGGTCTGTATCTTTCCTATGGAGGATAATTTGGATGTTGGGAGTATCCACTTCACACAAAGATTGCTTATGACCTGAGGGTGTGTCATGATCCTGACCTATAGTCACATACTGTAGAAAAAATGGATAAATAATGCATCCATACTTTCCAACAGAGAAATACTTGAAAAAAGTGTTATTAATTTTTCAATGTAATAAAAAACAATATTATTATTAGTATTGCTGTTTTACTAGGCTATGCCAAAGTTTCATTCATTAAAAAAATATAATGAGCAATTACTGGTAAATTTTCTCTCTAAATGTATAAACTATTTTTGAACACCTTTTAGATAAAATACTAGTATTAGTGACTTGGCATCTTCTCTGAAAAACCCAGTGGGGGGTATTTGTTCATATTGGACAGAGTTCTAGTTTAGTTCTAAACGGAGTCAACCAGGAGTAATTATATGTAGAAAATGATGTTCTGAAAAAAAAAACTATGTGTTTTTCCATATGCAAATTTATTTAATATTTTCTTTTTCTTTACAGATGAAAGGGAATTGCTGAAGAATGAATTGATGTTAACATCTCAACATTAAAATTGGCTTAAATTTCATTATGTCTTTTGTTGTGATTGCCTAAAGAGCAATTAGGATCAGGAAATTTGAGGTGAAGGATATCCAGATATGTACCTTCAAAATGTGGATCATTCAACAGATGAAAAGAAAATAAGCCTCTGAAGAAAATTATGTCAAATGCATGAAATGAATATTTTAATTGCACATCATTTTTGTTTCACGTATGTTTACAATATATATGTGAAAAAGAATATTCGGTGGTCAAAACATATTTTTAACCATGGTTTGGAACATGTATGGTACTTATACATGTATCATATGAGCAGTGCATTTAACAAACATGTTAAACGCATGTTTCTAAAAACATACATTACACACACGTTGCACGTACGTTATTCATACGTGAACCATATGAATAACGTACGTGTGCAACATGTGTGTAACGTATGGTAGTCAATACGTATGTTTAACGTACGTGTCACGCATGATATTCATACGTGTGAAAACGTGCGTTTAACATACGTGGTGCTTTTTTCATGTGATATGTACGTGAAGTCACGTACGTATCACATACGTTTAACGTACGTGATACGTACGTGGCACATTTTGCTGTGTACTTATAGCTGGGCGGAAGAGGTGGAGCAACAAGAGGCACTGAAGGTGTGTTAATATTTACTGTTTTAATATATTTTGTTTAAAATTCTTCAAAACATGTATATTTTTTATTTGTGATATACTGGAGATCTTAAAGTTCACATAAAGTAGGGTGAACAAAGATAAGCGACATGAGGCATTGAAAGTATGTAACTATGATTATTTTTATAAATAAGGCAGATAAATATGCCATTATACCAAATTAATCTCATTTAATTGACGGAGGCCAGCTAAAACTAATAGTAGTACAAATTCACTATAATCCAAAGAAAAATGAAAGTCAACTTGGTATGACTTGATTAATGGGTAGCACTTCCTCTTCCGCAATTTTTTCTTATGTGGTGAAGCAGACGATCTTGGCATCAAAACTATTAAGATATATTGCAACCATCCAAAAGATATTTTATGATTTTCTGTGCTACATTGCTTCAGTCATGCTGCTAGTAAGACAGTCGGTCACTTCCCTTCCAGGAAGGAACGTGACCGCAACTTTGTTTCGCCAGGCAGAGGGCAAGGTAGGAGGAGGTCCACACACGAAGCGGCGTATCCTACCAACACAAGACTACAGCTTAGTGGGAATCAAACCAGAACCAGTACTACATCACTACATCAATGTCCCCTGCCAAAGTTATGGCGGTGGAATCAACACACGATGTTAACGATGCCGCAGGACATATGGAGAGCAGAGACAAGGAGACGTCGAGCAACATTTCTGGTGAGTCTGACATTTTGCTCCCCACAGTAGACATCTTCACACACTATACAAACAATAGCGAATTCAATGCCCCCCCCCCCCCCCATTTAACATTTCGGATTACCAACCGCATTCTTAAGTTTACCTACAGCTGGGCAGAAGAAGTAGAATGAGAAGAGACACTGAAGATAAACATATTCCTTGTTTTATATATTCTGTACATTTATTGTTTATATATTTTAATTGTTATAAAAACATACATTTATTGTTTTAAATAGTACATATTATATAGTTAGTACACATGTTCTCTTGAAATTTTAAAGTTTTTCTATAGCTGGGCAGACGAGGTGGAGCAACAAGAGACAAAGAGACAATAATTTAATATTAAACTATGTCAATATTTATTGTTTTAATATAATTGTTTAAAATTCTTCAAAATATGTCTATTTTTTAATTTGTGGTACATGTATACTGGAGATCTCAAAGTTCTTAAATAGTTTGGTGGATGAAGTTAAGCAACATGAGGCATTGAATGTATATGTATTATTTTTATGAATAAATGAATAAATAAATTGTATATACAATTTTTCTTTCTCTCAAGTGTATGCAGTATTATAATGGTATACCGAAGATCCTTAAATTCCTCTACAGTTTTGCGTATGAAGTTGAGTGACTGAGAACACTGGAGGTATATTTATTTATTGTTTTCTAAGAATTAGTTGATTTCTTTCTCTTTTTAAGTGTATGCAATCTGACATTACAATATAGTGGCATTTTCAAGTTTTAGTACAGTTAGTCAGACAAGGAAGAGCGACAGAAGACAATGAAAGTATGCATACTTGTTTTTTGAAATACAATATCTTACCTATAAATGAATAGTTAAAAATTTATTGTTCATTAGATATAAAATATCACAAATGACAGAATCTGTTCTAAAGTTGACAACTTAATATCTGGTACAACTGATCTGAATTAGTACGTTTAAAAACAAAACATATCTGTCTTCATTTTTTGTCAAAGATTTAAATATTCTTCAGAACTGAAAAAGAAATACTGTGCAGAAATACTGTGCTATGAAAACACTTTCAAGCAATTCATATTCTTTTTTTATTTGACCACTTGAACAAAATATTTCCTTAAGAGGTCTCTATTCCAAAGTAAAAATAGACAAATTTTAATCAAAATTAAAAATTAGCTGTGCATTTGCTTCTTAAAATTTTACATAATTATATTGGAATCAACTTACATCTTCTTTTTATTGTTCTCAAACTTATTTTATATTCATTGTTCAACTTTGAACCAGTTTGTTTCTTAATACATGCATGTTCTAACAACGAAGTTGTTGCAAGCACAGAACAAGCCATTTGAGACCTTCAGAAACATTATAGCATTGTACATCGGATCTGCAAACAATTCTCGATTTGCGGAAAGCTACCAAAAATTCAGAATTCTTTAAAAGTTAGGCATAACAAAAATAACTGCCATTGATTTTCTGTTTATTTCAATTTGAGTCAGAAGAGTTCTTATTTTACAGTACTTATGTACTGAGGAGTTATTAAAGGAATCACTATCTAGTTTTTGGGGGGTACGTCAGGACATCATCGACAAGTAAGAAATAAATTTATCAAAGCCTATATGACATATTTCTTCCAAGTGTGATGTAAGCAAGCTTCTGTTTTAGTGAGGTACTGAAGATATTCCAAAGAAGACTAGCAAAAACTTCTGCAAATTCTGAAGATTATTAAGAAACCTTTCCACTGTGAGTCACAATTCTAAAGTTGCAAGCTCCATCAACATATCCACTGCTGCAAGCTTCATCAATATTTCCACAGTCACACAGACAAGACAACAGTCTGCAGTCACACCTTCCTAACTTCTGTGAAGCAATATATGACAAGGATGCATCTTAAATTTCTAAGACATGCACTCGCAAGATATCTTGAAATTCTCCTACATTTGGTTGGAAGAAAAGCACTCGAATGGTGGAAATATTTGTTCTTTTTCCTCTTTGATTTTTCAATTGTTAAATTAACAGGGAATTATTTAATCTTA